CTGTACATTAAATATTTTTTTGAAAATCTTATTGAAATAGACATTGTTATCGATATAGAGCCCGAATCTATAGTTTTTAGAATTTTTGTCTGTCTGTCTGTCTGTTACCGCATCACGAGAAAACCATTGGACAGATTTTGATGAAATTTGGTATGATGATAGCTGGTTATCCGGGTCAACATATAGGATACTTTTTACCGCGGGAAAATATCCCATTTCTGAGAAAAAGTACAAAACTTCATTGTGAGAGTATACTAATAAGTAAAGCCTAAGAATTTGGTTTTTGGTCATCTGGACGCGGGCTAAGCCGCGGACAATGCTAGTTTTATATATAACGTGTCTTCTCTATTCTACGCGACATTGGCGAAGTAAATGGTTCCCAAACGGCACTCTTAGAAGCCATTAAACATAAGATTTGAATTGAATTACGCATATGGCTATTATAATCCTAAGACTACATATTAAAAAAAAATCAAAGTAATTAACCAGTGTAATGGAAAATGAACAGTCAGTGGACAGACAATGTAGTGAACAAACATTTTGTGGATAAATTAGCGTGAAATATTATAATTCATAGTACCATAAAAAAGTCTTTATAGTGGACCCACCACTTAGCATGCAATCATTTCACTAATAACCACTATCAAATCACTGATTACTAAATACAGATAAGCTTAAAGATATGAAAGAGATATTAACACTTGTATTGATTGTGTACAAACTAAGTTTATATACCTACTAGGTATATAAACTTAGTTTGTACACATTAATAAAGCGCGCAGAACGGCGACAGTTCCTAGAAATCCTAGTGTCTTGGCATCATTTATCAGGCACAAAAAATAAATAAAATCTAGACGATAAAAAATGTGCTTTCAGCTTTTTATAATAATATTAGCAGAGCTTAGTTATTTTTTTTTAATTAGAAGTGTCAAATAGTACTTCATCATATTCCTTTTTATTCGTAGAAAAAATATATAAATATTGAAGATCTCACGACTTTTCTCAAAGTAAAATACCTTATTTAATTTTGCTAAAATTTATAACGAAGCAAAAAATAAAATTGCTAGAGGAACAATATTAAAATAAGTCAAATAAAACGAACAGAGAAGTGATCGTACCAAATTAAAACTGGTGTAGTTGACATTCATCTCAATCATTATAGAGTTATTAAGGAAAATTCAAACGTCGTCCTTTCAATTATAAAATGTTGATTGCTTTTGATTTATATAAGGAATATAGATAACGCTGCAAAAATTATTTTTATGTAAATATTGAAAATATTTTAAATTTAAATTATTATAGGCTAAAAAAATTCTAAAGATTTATATAAGTAAATTAAAATAATATGTACCTACGTAGGTACCCTAATGGTTCTATTGAATATAATTAGAAATTAAAACATAAACTGCGTATATAAATACAACAATTGCAAATCTACAAAGCATTGATATGGTTACATTACGTAAAGTTAAAATGAAGTATGCTTTGAATAATTTTGTATCTCTTGCAGGTAATAAATTTAATTTAAAATATTCTGACTTAAAATATTTTTCACCTTAAATACCTATATAATAGTTCCAAAAAATATTGGCTAATTTATAATTGATAGTGTCGTTATAGGTTGTATGTATAATATTACTTTTAACCGCATAAGTATCTACCTAATGTTTAATTATAAATACCATTCGTTATTATTATTATATGTTTTTTTTAATTTAATACGACATATTGTAGTAGCAAGCTTTTACTATGTATATTTTAAAATGTAATTATTTATTGAACTGTATGTTTCCCTTGAGAAGCAAATAAATAATTAAAAAAAAATACAAGGACTGATTGCCAATTTTTACGATGAACTAAGCGTCAAAACGATAGCATAAACGGAATTAGGTCTTAACAATTGCTCTTGTATGAGCGTTTTCCATCAGTTTTACGACTAGTTGATTTACAGTTGTGTGAACAGTTATTTCGGTTGCGTACATCAAAGGTTTTTGGTAAGTGGTTTACGAGGCGCGTTGGCGATGACGGAACTCTGTTTCAGATCGATAAAGTTATAAAGATTTACATTATTGCAATGATCGCACGTGAATCTGGTTCATTCATGGATTAGACGTCAGATAAAACAACCGATATTTTCAAGTACAAGCCATTCTTTTGCTCATTTTAAAAAGCATTAGAAAATTGGCGAATGTAGACTTTATACATATTTTGTTTTTGGGCGATATTTTAGGTTTCTTAGGTTGACTCAGTTTGTTTTGATTGTGTTCTATAACATTATGTACCTATATTAAGAATTACACATATATATTGTAAATTTTCTTAAAAATGCTCTATATGTCCTTTAATGCGCTGCGCTTACACAGAAAATGACATGGTCAAAGAAGGATCTCTAAAAGAGATCTTCAAGTTATGACACATTAACACCTCCAGGTAAATTTATAAGAAATGAATTAAATTTCTAAGAAATCTATTGTTAACTATAACGTCGGTGTGTTCGCGGTCGTGGAGGGATTATAGTATTAAATATTCTTAAGTATCAAAAATGAATAAAAATTTTAGTAAGAAATAATAACGAAAACATATGTTTTAAATAAACTGTGAAATTATTTTACTTGACAGTAATTTCAGTGATTAATTTGCGATATTAACGATCAAATTGGGATTAACTGATTTATATTCAAATTGAGAAGCATTCGCTTATTATGCAAATGCTACCGTATTTCAGAGTTGGAAATTGTATTTATATGTATGTATGTTTGTTTGTTTATTAAACGTTAAATGATGTATCTATTGCTAGCTTTGAAAGCTTACGCGGTTGTTTTGACACATTTACTTTGGCTCGAAGGCAGGGAAAATAGCATAGCGTTTAAACAACATTTTGTTTGTAGACGTTTTTAGTTTGGGTATATTATGAATCGTTGATTAGAGATAATTATATAGTAGATAAGATAAATACATGTGCAACAATTTTATGATTGAGAGCTCAGATTAGCTGAAAATTTTGGTGTGAGTGATAAAAAAATTTAATTTACTTGAAATAAATTGGAAAATTGAAAAAACTCTTAAAATGAGTGCCGCGTGAATTGAGTGAAGCACACTAACAAACACGCATCGAGTGCTGCGTTACATTATTCAACCGTCACAACAACGAGGAGATTTTGAGTCGTACCGTTTACTTGTGATGAAAAATGGATCTTGTGCGATAATCGGAAACGCTCATCACTAAGAATTATGATTGAAACCCAGGAGAACCGACCAAATCTTGCTCCAAGCGTAAGTTCAATCAGAAAAAAAGTACTGGCACGTGTCTGGTGGACCAGTGCTGGTGTTATCAACTACAACTTCCTAAGATCTGGCCAGACGATTACGGCAGATCTGTATTATCAACAATCGCAAACCATGATGGAAAAGCTGGCCGTTAATTAACCGAGAATGGTCAATTGCTTTAGCTCACTTTTGCTTCAGTTTCCTATAAAATGGCGAAAGTGCATAGATAACAATGGATACATACTTTGTAAATTAAATATATAATTTCAAAAAAAATATTTCGTTTTGCTTTTTCCATATAAAACAATAATTTCATATGTAAGGAATAGATGAATACCAATTTCTCAAACATTTAATTTAAATCATCATTTATAAGTATATGAGCTAGTATAAGAGAACTTTTTTAATAATACTTCGAAAATTAAAGCTAACAAAAAGTAATTAAAATGATGTAATAATTCCAGGAAGTCACGTAAGAAATTTCATTATTTGACTTTTTTCAGTATATGTACTGAAAAAAAATGTGCTAATATAACTAACCTGAGCTCACCCATTTAAGTTATTCTAAACACACGTAACTTACACACAATTGTACTCATTTAATCTGTATAATTAAAAGAGAATAAAGTAAATTTTGGAAAATTTAGAAATAAAATAGAAGTCGGTTTAAAATCTATTTAAAAATTACCTCACAATTTATAATTCTAGTTTTAATTATACCTACTCAATAATTTTCCATTAAAATATATTATAGAAGCAATGATAATGTTCATAATACATATTTGCCGAAGATGTTTAAACGTTCCGTCGGTAGTCAAAAATACTAAGAATAATGACGTATCGTTAATTGGTATTTCTCAAGATTGAGAACGAAGAGATGAACTGAGATTATAAATGCAAAACTTATATGCTACACGTATTTTATTTTAGCTGTATAATTTTAGTACGATTTATTATGTTTATTTGATAAACTTTTTTAATATTCAATATATAACGCCTTAAAATATTCAAAATATTTGAGTTATAAACACACAAGAACAAGATTTATAAACAAAGGCCATTAAAAACTTAATAAATTAGCAAATCCGTTATGTAAACGATTTAAAAAATACGACCGATCAAGAATAAATATTACTAAGAAAATTCAGAGCTTTTCTGAAGGATGCGAATTCCTTAGCTGATTACTCTTTGATTAATTTGGGGATCAAAGTACATTGTTTGTCTGACCGAATCGGAAAGCGGGTGAAAAGTCCCCGCGGAATTTCAACGAGAAACTTCTTATTGGCTCTATTCAATCTAAAAATCTGCACGATACACCGATATCTAATACAAACATTTGCGATATGTACTTGATTATTTGGGAGTTTCGATTATTTTTAAACGAATTTTAATTAGTTGAATATTATAAAATATGTTAAAAAAATATTATAAGATATTTTAATTTTTGGAATTTTTTGTTTATTAATTTAATGCTCCTCCAAAATTATTGATACTCAAACTTTTTCACAGGTGGTCTTTGTTTAAAACAAATAAACAACCCTTAAAATTAAAACAAACTACGACGTACAACAATTGGAAGGAAGCGCATGCAATACATCTGCCGAATAATAATTGCGCGTGTCCATTTTTTACGAAATTGTGAAGATTTGTGTTGCGCGCAATTAGTATCCATGGGGTGGGTCAGGGTGGGGGGTGAGTGTGGGGGTAGGGGGTGTTGGGGGTTACGTGCGTACCGACGGGTGCGTGGTGCGTGCGCGGCGCGGCGTGCACTCGGAACGGCGGTCGGAGATCCACTGCGCGGGACACAGCCTTGCCCGGACCGCCCGAGCCGCCCCAGCCCTACAACCGCCCGCCCACTCCCGCACACATATAACCCGTTTACACTTCCCTATACATTGCCTTTCTATCTTTACCAACAATATTTTTTTATCTCATTATACTTGCAATGGATTTCATAGTTAGCGAAATTGTCGTTTCTATAAGTACTATCATTGAACTTTTCTGATGCACCTCTCCATTATGTTACGTTGTAACTCTCATTGTCTCAGCAGCTCACTTGTACTCTCAAGAGTAAAGCAGAAAATATTTTGTATTGATTTGTCATCACAAACTAAAATGGAAGCTATTAATTACATAATTATTATATTATTAGTTATAGTATAGCTATTATTGATACGATATATTATTAAAAATTTTTTGAAGATTTTTACTATTGTTATACGAATTACACTATCTTATTATTCAAAACAAATACAGAAGCAATCTTTCTAAAACAAAACTAAATTAAATACTTTAATGTTAAATTATTGTAGAAGTAACTAATTAAATTAAAACGAAAATAATACATATAATAATTTAAGAAAATCAACAAAATGGTAAAGAGGTAAAAATGTGTACTTTTATAATAATAGTCAATTAGAAAGTTTAATGTGAGGTACTAGTACGCTAGACGGCTGTCACGTACGGTGCTACGAGTATAAGCTTTGTGGCAATTTTTCTTTTGTGAATTTCTGCCTAGAAATACCTAGAAATATATATATATATATATATATATATATATATATATACCTATCATAAAAAAAAACTGTATATGTACTTAAGTACGCACGCAAGTTATACATCTTTGGCGTAACAGAACAAAAATAGCTAAAGATTTCATCCCGTATGTCACAACTCTCTGTTTGTAAAAGGAATGCAGCTAACTTCATCATGTTGCTTTTTCGCTGTCGGTGTGCGCGCGCATCGTAAAAATTTTACTCTCATATTTTTTTCCAAACGTGCCAAAAGAAGTATAACTGTTTTCGCAGTTTTTTTGTCCGATTGATATATTTATAATTCGAAAAATTGAAATTTTTGAAACCATTAACAAGAAAAGAGAATTGAATTGAAATTGTTCCTTGGTTCTTCTTAAAAGACCGTATTAATCGAAAAGTTTGCAAACTTTATAAGATATCAACTATCATGTGTCATTATTATAACAAAAGCCTACGTGACAAAGTTTCTAAAAGCCCTCTCGTGACCGAAACCACCCTTACATCGACCAATTATTTATATGTTGGTCGCATAAGCGTGATGGTCGCGTAGGGTGATTTAAGTCTTAATATTAGTAATTGCAAAGTTGAGTGCTCAAGGCTTTATAAATACTTGATGAAACAAGGCTACTTTATACTTGCTAGCGATAAAAAGGTATAATACGTTTATTAAAAATATTTACTATATATGACTATATAGTGTCCCAACATATTTATAAACATAAATATTTAAAACTAGCATTGCCCGCGGCTCCGCCCGCGTTCAGATGATCAAAAACCAAATTCTTAGGTTTTACATAGGTATTAGTATACTCTTTCTTACAATGCGGTTTTTGTATTTTTTCTCAGAAATGATATATTTATAAGATATTTTCCCGTAGTAAAAAAGTATCCTATATGTTGACCCGGATAATCAGCTATCATCATACGAAATTTCATCAAAATCCCTCCAGTGGTTTTTCCGTGATGCGGTAACAGACAGACAGACAAAAATTCTAAAAACTATAGATTCGGACTCTGTATCGATAATAATGTCTATTTCAATCAGATTTTCCAAAAAATATTTAATGTACAGATTCGACTTAGTTACAATTTTATTATAGGTATGTATAGATTAAAGCAATGCCTACATGGCATTAAACCAAACTTGGCGTTAGAGAATTAAGAAGACGACGACGGCGGGATTCGTCCATAGCGTATTTATTGAAAAATAAGTACTAGTGCCATATTAAAAATGAAAACTATTTACAACTAATTTGTATTAAGAGTAGAGAATATAGTGTAGGTATATCAAAATAAAATTATTTTAATAATAAATAAATAAAATTATAACAATATAATTCAAAATTAAAAAATGAATTCTCTTTTAATAACTTAAACTAATAAATTATTTAAAACGCAATAAGTATTTTACATCGTAGCGCTTGTACGAGAACAATGTTCATTTTACCAAGTCGATAAAAATTCAGCATATGTATTTTATTCCAATTTGAGATTCGTATTATTTGAGCTATTGTTGATAGTTCACGTCGATGTGCTTTGTGATGTCTATTTCTTATAAGCTACGGGAAAAAACTATCAGATTTAAGGGAATATCTGTACTAGTTTTTTCCCGTAACTTCTCCCGAGAAAAAAAAAATCAATAAAAGTAGCCATCCAATAGTTTAATAATCCAATGGGCTTAATACAAAAAGACAAGAAGAAATTCTAAAATGGTATAAGTCCAGAAATCTGAAATACATTTAAATGATACGTTATGATGCTAAGCCTAACATGCTTAAAGTTTCTATTCCTTAGCGATCGTAGAATCTTGTCTAAAGCCCTCTAGATATATTTAGTTATCCCTTCACCGATAGTAGCGGTATTGAAGATTTGTTCTAGCTAAATACGTGCTACGGATGTTCACTGGACTTGTTAAGTGAACCAAATGCACTTTAATTGACGACATGTTTGGCCAGTTTGTAGTAGTACTTGCTGTGCCAGCGATCGCGGGTTCGAGCCCTGTTGGGAGTATTCATTTGTGTAATGAGCACGAATTTGTACTCCTGTCATGGGCGCTTATATTTATAATATGTATGTATTTAAAGTTTGCCTTGGGGTACGACGTGTAAATGTTTTATGTACAATGTAAACGCCACTTCTTATTCCGCTAAAGTATGTTACAACGCCGTTTGAACCTAGTCATAGGTTGAACGATGTGGTCTGGGCGATGATAAATAAAACAGGACAATTATCTTTCTATTATAAATAAATGTACGGATTCTATGTTTTTCGAATAAATTTATGTAAACAGAATAAATTTTAGTAACTTTACAGAAAATACTTATATTTTAATGTTTATGTGGCCGTGTTTGAATATACTATTATAACGCTTATTTGTATATTTCAATGTGAAATTTAATGCTAAGCTACACAATGTTTGTGTACTGTTTAAGTTGATACACAAAATATTTAATTTTGTGTCGTCTGAAAATTCTCTATATGCAAAATTTGAAACTGCCACTGTTCCTGTAATTTGCTTTTGGTACCAACTTAATAAACTTACGAGTTTTGCAAACACGTAAGAACACTTTATCTTTCGTACTTGTCCTATATCTTCCTTTGTCCTTTAAAAATTATATTATACTAAAGCATGAATGGAAAATTTTGTCTCCATAAAGCTTTTCTATTCAGAAAACAAATATAATAATGTAGGATGTATAATATTTTTATAAAAGGAAAAGTTGAGCATTAACTTATTGTGTTTTTGGAGATTGTTATATCACTTGAGACTTTAAACCAATATTTACATTTTGCAACTTACACATTATGTTTACTAATATTATAAAGATGGAAAGATTGCTTGTTTAAATGAGCTTACCTGAAACTACCAGCTCGATTTGAATTTTTTTCTATATAAGCGATCCGAGCCCCATGTCAGGTCTCTGATACAGATATAAAACACATATATAGGTTATTATAGGCTAATTACTTGTATAGCCAACATATATGTACATATATTTGTTTCAAACGGGTCACGAACTTCTGACCGACGACGCGACGTAAAGACAGAAACTCTGATTGGGTAACTCACTACACAAGTCGATTTTCTTTTATTTATCGATTTTTTTTTATAATATGTGCATTTTTTTTGGATATATTAAGAGCAGTATGACGTTTATAATGTTAGATGTTTTTATAGGCTTTCGAGTTTTTCGAGATTGGGCGTTCCTTATTTCTTTAAATAGTATAGTCATTAATTAGTATATAGTGTTATTTGGCTAGTCTCAATGAGATTGGCCGCCGTGGCCGGAATCGGTCAGGAGAACATCAGTGTTATTTACGCTCGTTGTTGTATATTTGGTGTACATTAATTTTGTATTATTAACAAGTCAAGTTATTTTCATTAAGGCTGATGATGATGGTCATTTTATGTCAGACACAAGAAAATTACATTTGTTTTGCAAATTTAACTAACTCTTATTTCTTATGTGCTCCAATTTTTAAATGAAACAGGAAATTAATATTCGACTAAAAGATTTGCTTTTTAAAACTAAAACCAAAAGATTTTTTTCAGAAGAGGAACAAAAGAAGAAGATGTACGAATTAAGTAAAATTGAATTATATATATTTTCCATAAACTACATATTATTTCACTATTAACTTGTAAAGAGTATTTCAAAATAAGAAAGCAGCAGCTGTTACAAATTGAATGATTTGCGTCATTTGCTCCATTATTCGTTAAACAGCGGTCGTCCAATCGGTCTACTAGATTGACCAAGTTAAGGACCATCGGGGACTTCAGCCTTCTCTCTGTTTTCTTAATAGAATATGTGATAAATATTCTTAAAAGGAAGTTACTATTAAAAGATAAGAATTGTGATATCAATGAAAATTATAAAATTAGAAGGAATAATTCGATTTTTTTCTAAAGTAATTCAGGCACGTTCCCTTTATATGTAATTTTAAAACTTGTATACATAAATAATATATTTATAGAATGAGCCGGTTTTGGATAGCGAAATTGGTACTTCAAACACAGGCAATTTTGTTCGTGGAATATACGTTTTTGAATGTATTCGAGCGGTCGCAAGCTCTAACGGCGTCAAACAACCTGTTGCTGAGTAAAAAAACGTCAGTCAGCTTTACAGGTTTATATCAAAGTAAACTCTTTTATAAACGGTTTCATACTTCTGTTTTCTTAATCAAGAATATAAAGTGTATCCTTAAAAAGGTAAAAAGTACTTTATTTTTAATTTTGGCTCTATGGTTAAGACAAATGTAAACTACAATTTATTTATAGAGTGTATTTTTTTAGTTTGGTATACATTACTAATACTATAAACATATTTTGCTTGTTGGTTGGTTTCTGCTTCTTACACGTAGCAACTAAAAGTATTTTTTTTGCATAGAGATAATTTATGGATTAGAGTGGATTAGTGTGACATAGACTGGACCTTGTGGTATTACGGATACTTGCGTGGACTCAATAGTAAAAGATAATTTTAACTGAACCTGGAATTATGGCATAATATTAATTTTTAGGTAGTTTAAATTCATTTTTGTGTGAAATTAGTGAACTTATTTTTGTGATTTCGATATTTTTTAAATAAAAACAATTTTTTCTGTAAACCATCCAAAAATAAAACTCCAAAAGGATTTCTATAATCTTTGATTTATTATAAGCTAACTGATTAGCTTGAGTAATTAAGAAATTGATCTCAGAAAAATTGGGCACTATAAAATTTAGTCGTGGTTGTGGAAGTGGAAATTGAAGTTACACACAAGAGTTACTTATAATAATTTCTGTATACACTCGTAGTACACGAAAAATGTCGGTTTAATTCAGGCACTGAACACTATTTTTGACCTCTAGTTTCACTATCACTTTAGCTTCAGTTAAAATAAAATGAACTATTCAAAAGTGCTTGTAAAAGTGTAATAATAAAATAAAGATAAAATTTATTTAATTAGTCACATCTTATGATTTCTTCTCAACCTTCACTTTCTGTTCTAATCACTCTACACTCTACATCTTTATCTACTTACATAAAACAAAGAATATTACAGTAAAGTAGAAATACATCACAGAAAATTATAAAATGTTCTCGTAAGATCAATATGTTTATGGAATATTCTTACGAGAAATGATCTGTCTCTCTCCGACTCACGGCAATTTGCCAATTACTGTCAGATCTTGACAGGTCAAGTAGGTACTGTAACATATATAAAAAAGTCCAATTACAATCGGGAATATGCGTGTGATTTCAATAATTGTGAAATATTTTTTTTTTATAATAGTTATTGGTTTTGAATTAAGCCTATAATATTATTTTTAATGTGATTTCTTTTTGATAAGAAAAAAATATATGTAGGTGGTAAATTGAAACTAGTTGAAACGCACGCCATTGGTCAGACCGAATATGACGTCAAAGTATTGACATAACAGAGCGCTTAGCGACTTTGTCGCTCAAACTAGAGTTATCATTTGTCAATGTATAATACTTTGACGTCACGTCAAGCGCGAGAAATTTATTTTTTTTTTAGTTTTTGGAGCAGGATATATTTTTTTTACAATTATATAACGATGTTAGCTATTGTATAAAAAAAACGCATATTCCATATTATTTTAGCTCTTCTCGAATGATGCGACATACAGCATACTATATAAATTTACTGTTCACTAAATGAAAACTTTCATTTTTCTTTATATCGTTACAATTTCGTTGATTTTGGCTATAGTACGTTACTATCATAATATAAGATAAATGTTATTATAATATACGTTTTTCCTATCGAATTACATTAGTAGAGGTAATCGGTGAAATCGATTCGGTCGGAAATAGGACGAGCAAAGCGCCTTTGTGAGCTTTTTTCTGCCTGTCCTTACAGTGATTCACTAACCGTGGACAGTTATTATTAGTTTTCTACTTCATGTTGCATAGTGGGTATATCTTATAAAACTATATAACAAACGTAATATAAAACAAAGTCGCTGTCAGTGTCTGTCTGTTTCTCCGCTTCCGTTTTTTAAGCCACGCTACAGATTTTGGTTCAGTTTTGACAAATAGAAAGAGGAAGGATGGTATATATATTGTGTATATAATTTGTAAATACTTTGTACAAAATGGCTGAGCGTAGACGGTGTTTTTTCATACAAACTGTTTTCATATGATTACATGGCTAACGTTGGCTGAACCTTTAGAGATACATGAAACCAGTATACTAAAAATTTATAGGTCTTAAAAAGGCCTACAGAAAAGCCTGTAATAAATAGCATGTGCCTCTCTTCTAAGGTAGATAGATATGCTTACAATAACTATTTTTATCTACAAAAACGTACCCAGTGACGCATCCGTGCAAAGCGAGGGTAAGTTGCTAGTTGGGCTTATTACTAATTGTAAGAATATTTTAGCTATTATCAATAGGAAACTGTTAAAATATTATGCAGTAATTAAATAGGTAAAAAAATGCCTATTCATAGACACTGTAAAACTGTCTGTTCAATTTTTATGAGGCTGATATAAAGATATTAGTGTAAAATATAATCCCATCAAAAACATAAATGTGAAAATGGGAGCCAAGTTCAATATTAAGAATATACGTGTTTGTCAACTTCACCGACAAAAGAATTGAGATCTAAATGGGTGCCAAGTTCTGTAGATAATCCTGATTTCTTTTCATAAGAACATACAACATTCTAAAATAAATTGAAAACACAATTTCTTCTTTCTTTCTACTACAAAAGTGTTTGCTATTTAAAAATAGATCTTCTTAAATTAGAACAGTAGAATTATTTACACAGAGTAGATAATATAGGATAAATTGAAGTTCAAAATATGATTTGGCTAGTTTTTACCAGTAAAGCAAGTTTTTAGAAGAGTGAGACATGTTGAAAAATAAACGGATTTTGTTAGGGTAAATGCTTTTAAAGATACCAAATGATAAGATTAATAATATTATTAGATATATTGTGAATCAATTAATTTTATTTATTAAAAAATGAATAAAATTGGTGTTATTTAGTAGTCAACGCTTTAAAATAGTAATAGTATATGTCGTGTTATCCATAGGTATACTGCGAAAATCATCTTTAGTGGTTACTAATCTTATGGGCGTTATCGGCGTTATCAGGGCTCAAATAATAATATATTCAATGCTCAATACACGATTTAATTAGAGAAATTACAATGTTACAAACTTGAAACGGTAATTCTAATAATTTAGAGCCAGCGGGTTCACAGATACAGATCACACTTCCATATTCAATATCCACCACTCTATGATCCACCAAGATCAAACAACTTAACTAAACCACGTTCCTCCAATGAATGTCATGATGGCGTCTCGACCCCGCTAAAGACGTAGTCTCTGCTCTAAATTAAAAAAAAAAACTTTTAAAGCAATAAAAAGTACACTGAATAACATAGTGACTTTAAACAATGAGGTTTCACATTTTAGCAGAAAAAGGTTATTAAATCCCCCTCCGGTATTTTTTTATTCGAAATAAAAAAACATTCAATACCAGTTTCATTCATACTCCGTTAGATTTCTGTAACCTATGACACATGGTTCGTGACTTTCAACCGACGACGCCAATTTATTACAAATCCGATTTAGGTTGTTCGATGGAGATGTCATAAAAATGCATACTAGCAACTCTTGAACTAGGTACTTACTATTTGTAAAAGAGTTTTAATTATTTTGAAGTTTTAAACTCAATATAAAATACGTACCTATGTATCAGTGGCGAAGCGTCCATACAAGACGTATGATTACAATTACTTTGCTATAATTTTACATACATTTAATCTTTAAATGTATAAATGTTCTTTTGGAAATAATTATACATAATAATAGCTTTATTTCTTTCTGCATTAATATGTATATAAAAAATATATATTTTTGGAACAGCGTACCTCTGCTAAAAGTTCACCCTTCGCCACTGGTATGTACATATTTTTTTCACTGAAATATCTGATTGAATTATATTAAATATGTACTATGACTGTTTGCTATATTACGTTTTAAATAATATGAAAATAAACTGTTTACTGTAACTTTTTACAAATTTATGAGTGTAAATGTGTAAGCGTATCTATAAAATTTCTACAAAAATATCATTGGCGCTATTTATATAAAAAAATCTACTACAAATTATTTACGATCTAAAACTAGACTGAACAAATATGAGGATTGGAGAACATTTGAAACTAGGTGTTTTCATATTGGAATAGTCATAATAGTATATAATAAGCCAGTTCTCTTATCTCATAAAGTTTCATATTGTAACATTTTGCGAGTTCACAACATCTTTAAATCAAAATGTCACGCCATGTAAACCATGCTTAATGTATAATTTACCATAATAGTTGTTAATCCTAAACGAGAGCAGGTAATGGGAGATGGCCGTGTGTGAGAAAAAGACACAGCGCTTTCCAAAAGGAAATCTTTATTACATGAACAATGGTTTTGGATTACATAGTTAGTGAACGTGATTATGGCTGTGGAATAAGTGGTATGTGCTCAGTGATTAAAATAATACCTTACTGTGCACATGTGAGCGTTTTGTATATGTATGTAGCTATAAAACATTTATGTATATTGCAACAGAATGAATTTCTGATCCCAAAACTCAAGTTCTTACTCGTACAATACTTGAATCAAATCAACCATTTTATTGCGAACTTGGGTTAGTACATACATTTAGATTTTGATAATAATATATTTAATGTTCAGCCAAATTCAGCCTTACAGGATGCAATATTTTAATAATTAAAATATGCATAAAATTACAAATGTTAACATATATTACATAATAACATATTATTCAGTATTATGCTTGACTTCCTGTGTAATGTATTTTATATCATTCTTTTTAGCTAGTTAATTACAATACCTATATACCTGCTTAAAATTATATATTACACCTTATCCAACATATAGTCTTTAACTGAATAATACGTCTTTTCTAATAGAAATTTCTTCAATTCATTTTTAAATACATTAATTTAATTGAAAGCTAAAAAATAGAAAATCCTTAAACAATTTCAAAAAGAGAGGCAGTTTCAATAAAAATACATACTTTATTTGAATATAAAATTCATTTAATTGAACAGATCAGACGGATATTACAATGTCTAAAAATCTTATTTACAGTTAACTTTAATTTCCGTAGAATTTTGCCATTCACGTTCCCATACTTTAGAGTGACATACAAGCAATATACATATGGAACCTGGTGTTACGCATTTTGACTCCAGTGCATCAAAATCTAATTCAGTTAAGAGACCTTCCACGACCTGTGTTGTTACTTTCTGCACCTTGTAAACGTGGAAGTCCGCAGCGGGATTATTGTTCGCGATATATTCATCTAGTGACTTCTGTGCTAATTCCCTGTATTTTGGTTCATTGGGATCCTGATCTACTTTTCCCCCGAGAACATCGCTTTCACCTTTTACTTAACCTAGGTAACATTAATTGAATATTAATTTATCATGCTAAAAACGAAGTATATGTACTCGTAATAGAAAAAGTGTTCAGATCTAAGGAGAAAAACAATCAATGTCAAGTGGTTTCTTTTCCTTTATTTAGTTTCATCTCCTCCGGGTCTGTGTAATGGAATCTTGCAAGTTAAATTTGACACACTTTCCAGTATCTATATATGATAGAGTTGAAATTTAGCACATTTTTTTATTTATTATTTATTTTTGGGTGTGGTGCCGAGGTCGGCCCTAGCTACGTCGACCTGTTATGGTCCATTGTAGCTCCCTTTTAGCACATTAGTTTTGTTCCCGATACAATGTACGATTACCTACTAAATGCCGTCATTTTTAATTCAATACGGCGGAAGTTACAAAATGGCGATTTATCATTTCCGTAGTGATTCATCCAAAAAATATAAGGGATCAATAAGCGAAATACAATAACTAACGTCATTGTAAATTCAATATGGCGGCTGCCGCAAATGGCGATTTATCATTACAAACTTTTATTTAGTTTCACCTGTCCCCATGTCTGTCTGTCTGTCTGTAATCAAATCTTGCAAGTTATATTTGACTTATCGTTATTCTAAAACCTAACTTAATTCTCTACTACTTGGACTTTCAAACATGTTTTTTTATTTTCATAAATAATAATCATTATGAAATTACTAGCGGCTCACCCTCGCTTCGCTTGGGTTCGTCTTTAGCTTGCTTCCCCATACAAATTTTCATCCCCTTAAGGGAGGATTCCGGGATAAAATATATAAATATTCGGATAAAAATATAAAAATATCTAATATATACATTTCCGGGATAAATATATCCTTTGTCCTTCCTAGGGTCTCAAACTATCTTTTTACTAAATTTCATATAAATCTCGTAGTAGATCCAGAGATTACCCCCTACAACATCACAAACTCACAATATCACAAACTTTACCTCTTTATAATATTAGTATAGATTAATAATAATAGATTATTTTATAAATAGTAATATTTAAAAAATTATTAACAATATGTAATTATTTTTATAAATATTTTTTCTTTATAAAACTCTTCTTCTTATGCCTGGCATTTATAAATCCCGGCTATTGCCAGAGTTTGCCTTCATACTTAGCCTCCTCCACTTTGAACGGTCTTTAGTATCATTCTGTGTAAGTTCATTGACTCTCATGTCCCGCTTCACGACATCCAGCCATCGCTTTTTTGAGCGACCGGGTCGGAGGTCTTGTTCCAGGGACAGATATATCAAGGCACTTTCTTCCGACATAGTCCTCAGACCGATGCGCGATATGGTGATACCACCTCAGACGACGCTCTTGAAGCTTATGCGGTACATCACGGACCCTGAGACTACCCTACTATATTTATCTTTTAAAGTATGGAATTGTGGTGTATTGTATATTTTGTATTTTTTTTCGGAATATATTTAATTTCTTTGCGGGTTGTGTGGTGGTGCTCTATTGGTGTATATTTTCTTTTGTGTCTTTTTAAGGTAAAATGGAATCCTTATAATTTCGTCACATCTGTTTGTCCGTGTGTACCATGCGGGTTGCTCCTGGTACTTCTCTGATAGCAGAGTTGATCTTGGAGCAAACCCATGGTTGTTGTGGTTTGGATAGTACTACCTTTTCCGGTGAGTCCCAAACCACGTGCGTAAATGCATTTTCCAACGTTAAAAAACAAAAACAAAGATGTCTAAATAAAAGACATGCATGTTAAATAGCATCATGTTTCATGCTCGGTGAGCGCGTCAGACTTGAAATATTGTATGTAGTATAGCGTTTCTAATTATTCCCCAGAATTAAAATTAATTTATGCAAGCGTACTGTTTATTTAAACGTATACGTTCATCATTGGGTTATCTTATGTAAATTGCGCATACTTAATTTCAACATTTTCGTCTAGTAGATTCGGAGAACATTGGGTGCGACAACGACGAACAGATAAACACAAGAGATTTAAAAGGGTTCTGTTTTCCTTTTCAGGCACGGAACCCACTTAGGATCACTCATGTGTCTATCTGCAACATTTATTTCGTAGTATCAAAATAAAAAGACTGAGAGATATTATTACCACATTTATGCCGGAGTTATAATATTATTTCTAATAATTCCTGTTTAACCAAAATTGATTATAATAATTCTAGTTTTTACTTACTCCAACCAAAAGTGCAGCTATGAGGAGACAGTGAACGAGTACAAGCCGACTTTCCATTATGTTTTTATTCGACTCTGCACAATTACTTCTTACGACCGGTTGGTTCAAAATGTGTAATATTAGCTGTGAAATGACTCTATTTTATATAAAATTTGTTCACATTATTATTTTTAACATAGCATTTTTAATGATATCGATATCGACCATGAAAAATTTAGTTATATATATATATATATATATATATATATATATATATATATATATATATATATATATATATATATATATATATATATAATGCACATAAACGAGTCTAATTAATGGAACTTATAACAATAAACATAATTAACTTTTTCACAGTTGTTTTTAATTGACTTTGTTCAAATGTGTGATTTTTTTAGTAGATATGAGTGTTTCTCTTCGGCCTATTTCTTTGTTTTGCAAAGCATTGCTTTGTTGGTGCGTGAAAGAAAATTAAACTAACAAAGGCCAGAAAGCCAATTTAAAAATTAAAAAAAAAACTGCGCTATGAATTAGATTAAAAAAAAATAATGTCCGGAAAGAGGAACCCGAAATCGATCAACATCTAACTTGCCAACTTGACAGCCAAAAAGCGACATGATTGTTGTATTAGTTTATTTTATAATTTATAACACATACTAGCATTGCCCGCGGTTCCGCCTGCGGTTCCGCCCGTGTTCAGGTGACCAAAAATTTCCAAAAATGCTTAGGTTTTACATATTAGTTTACTCTTACATTGCAGTTTTTGTATTTTTTCTCAGAAATGAGATATTTTCCCGCGGTAAAATGTATCCTATATGTTGACCCGGATAATCAGCTATCAACATACCAAATTTCATCAAAATCCCTCCAGAGGTTTTTCTGTGATGCGGTAACAGACAGACAGACAAAAATTCTAAAAACTATAGATTCGGCCTCTGTATCGATAACAATGTTTATTTCAATAAGATTTTCCAAAAAATATTTAATGTACATCTGTTCAGTTTAGTTAAAATTTTATTATATGTATAGATATTATTATATGTATGTGTTTACAGTATTTAATATAAAGAATTATAAAATATATTTTGATAGAAACGAATGAGAAATGGTCAGATGAATAGGTCGGCTGTCCGAATTCCTACAGAAATGTGCTGGATGAGGTCAATGGCAGAAAACTGGAAGTTATGTAAACAAAAATATGAAATATTTATTGTAGCGTCTGGTAATCTAGAGAAAGATTCTGCAACTAATATAGCGCTACTTCTTAACGTGATTGGTAGCCGTTTGTATTTGATAAACCTGATGACAAGAATAATTTTAATAAAGTTATAGCAAAATTTGAAGAACATTTTAATCCAGAAAAAAATGTAACTTATGAAAAATACAAATTATTTTCTAGGACTCAAAAGTAAGGAGAATAGTATGAAGATTTTTTAATTGAGTTAAGTGCTTGACTTGAGTGACTTGAGTGCTTCGTGTGAGTTTGGAGTTCTTACAGAAAGTCTCATCGTCTATATAAGAAATAGAATGCGTCAAATATTAGAAGATTTAGAAGGTGTAAAATAATATATCGATGATATAGTTATTTGGGGTAAGACAAAAGAAGAACATGATATTAGATTATCATGTAATTTAATTTTAATTAATATAATATTAATTTAATATAATAATGATGAAGTTAGCTGATAACTAAATATGCCTAATATGCCATATTTAACTATTTTATTAATTTATCATTACTTTTACAAACAGAGATTTGTGACATACGGGATGAAATCTTTAGAAATTTTAGTTCTGTTACGCCAAAGAACTATAACTTCTTACGTGCGTACATAAGTACACACACACGTTTTTTTATATTCAGTATGACTGATATTTCACCGCCATCATTTACAGTTAGCTACCTTAGTAATTTTTTTCTTTGAGAGAGTACAAGAGATCTGAAGACATACCTGGACGGAAGATAAGCTCTTAAGCAGTTTTTTTAAAGAAGAGATATTTTAAGATAAAAAAAATCTTTATTGGAACATTATACGTTTAATAAAGAAATTCTAACAACGATTACACTTCGTCTAGAGATAATGTGTACATTTAACTTTAATTTCCTTAGCATTCAACCACTTACGTTCCCATACTCTTGAGTGGCATTGAAGTAAATTGCAGTTGCTACCTGTTGAGAAACAATCTGTCGATACTGCATCAAAATCTAATTCAGTCAAAATACCAGCTACAATTTGTGATGTTACTCCGTTCATCCGGACAACGTTATACGCCGTAGGGGCTTGGCTGTCAATGACATATTTGATTAGAGACTCCTGTGCTAAAATCCAGTACTCTGGTTGATTTGGATCCTTAGCTCCTTTTTGACCCACGAGTTGGCATTTAACCTAGGTAATATTAATTGATTAATTATTAATATGATATGTTAAGTTCCGTAATTGAAAACTAAGTTAATGCAATATTTGTTTAAATTACAAAATTCAAAAGACTTAGTTTATTGTAAATAATATTTTTGACAAATTTTATAAACATGGCCAAGTATCAGGGTTAAAATCCTTGTTTTTAGCTCACGTTTGTTATTTAATCTTCATATGTTATAAATGTTAACATTTCCAGTAGATTCGGTGCACCTAGGATGCAACAATAACGGATAAAAATGGCACGGTTGATATAAATTAAAAATTTTGAGACTTTATGAAATTAGTTATGCCGGATTTTATAAAAAATCCAGTTTTCACTTACTTCAACCAAAAGTAAAGCTATGAGGAGACAGTGAACCAGCACAAGCCGACTTTCCATTATGTTCTACTACTAGTAGACTGCAAAAGTACTTCTTACAGCAGTCTAGTTCAAAATATTTAATTATATTTGAAGTAGCTCTATTTTATATTCATTTCATATCAATGACATTGATTGATAAAGACCATAACTAATTGCGATTATGTATGTACAAATATAATTGATATTATTACATTTTTAATGAGGTAAAAATCATCCTGGCACTTGTAGACCTATCTCTATATTGCCATCTATGAGTAAAATTTTTGAATAACTTATTCTAAACCAACTGTAAATTCATTTTAATATTCTGTTAACTGTTAGTTCAGCCAATACGGGAGTTGCTCTTCTTAAACACATTCATAACGCTTGGGAAAAATCACAAAATGCAAACGGTGTTTTTTGTGATTTATCTAAGCCCTTTGATTACGTAGAACATGAAACCCTCCTGCTTAAACTAAGTCATTTTGGTATTCGTGGCATTGCTCTTGATCCCATTGCTTCATATCTTAGTGGTAGGGTTCAGAAAGCCGCTGTAAATATCGTTAATTCTTCCGATTCCTCTTTGAGAATGGGTTTTCCGCAGGGATCTATTTTGGGTCCATTTTTGTTTCTAGTTTAAATAAATGATCTTCCTTTCTATGCTAATAAATTTTATGTAATATTGTACTGTTTGCAGATGATACCTCTTTAAATTTTAAAGAAGATAGAAATACGACTGATTATAACAAAGTAAACAGTGCGTTATCTCAAATACTTAAGTGGTTTAATATGAATAATTTAGCACTGAACACCAAGAAAACTAACTGTATTCAATTTACCTACCTAATGTAAGGAGACAGGGTTTCAGTTCGTTTTTAAATAATGAAATTTTTTATACTGTAGATTCCACAGTATTCTTGGGTATAATATTAGACTCACGTCTTCAGTGGAGCCCCCGTCTGTCATCTCTCGCGAGTAGACTGAGCTCCGCTATGTTCGTTGTTAGGTAAGTCGGCAGCTTACAGATGTTGATACTGCTAGACCTTTTTATTTCAGGTACTTTCACAGCATCTTGTCTTACACATGAAATAAATACTAGAAATAAGGATAAACTGGTGACGCCTCGCTTTCGCCTTCAAAAGGTGAATAGATGGGGCAAGACATTAAACATCAGTAAAATGAATTTTATATCAAATACTATAGCTCAACCCTCGTGACGTCCATCGGCTAAGAGGTGCTAAAAACTGATGGACGTAGTCTACGCTCTAAACAAGATATGGTGTGCTCCAAGCTCGCTCGTTGAATAAGACGATGTTCACGGGTCAACATATTCCAGCGGACTCCCCAAAAACCCATGTACATAGTACACACACAGGTTGAATAAGAACACCTAATAACGCCAGGGTACGGGAAGGGAAAAAATCTAGAAAGCCCAGCGATCAACATACGAGACTGTAGTGATCATCCAGACCAAAAAAAGTAAGAAGATTAATATCCACGACTACCTCTACGCGGTAGTCGCGATCTGTAGACAAATAGATCTTCGTAGTATCTTTTACAGTCAGATGTATCACCGAAGAAGAACTATTATTTTAAGAGAAAAGGAAGATTTATCCGACGGACAAACGAAATTTGTACTAGGGCTTATAATCTAATACAACCTAAAGATGGCAATGTCCCAAAGATATAATAATGCTCCATAAATAAACAAATCAAAAAAAGGCGCGGAAAGCGTCCCTGGTGTTTAGTATACTAATATGGAAAAAGTAATATATGGTATATTGTTTTATCTTTATTTTGAGATTTGGTAGTTACAATTAAAAATCATACATACATGCATCGTAATTTATTAAAAAATTGTTAGTTTACTTGCAGAATCACATAACTGTCTAGAATACAATCCTTATTTTTACGGTTCAGTAACATCGCCACATGAAAATTTACACAGAATAATAAAAAAAAAAAATCTTTTAATTATAATTTTTATTTGCCGATACGCTCCATGCCAAATCAGCGAAACTGTGAGAATACGGTTACACGTGCTTTCCTGGACAATTTTCTAATAGCCGTCGTATAGGTGTAATTGTCTCAACAAAAATATTTACTCGCTCTTCCTGTTGCCTGTGTTTCTTCCGGCTGCCTGACGCGAGAACACAGGTGAACTTACAACAACCGAGAGAACGAGAACCATACGGAAAGGGAGCATCACCTGCGGATGATACGCGGTTCACTAAAACCATTATGCATTGACACCCCTGTTCAGTAACTTTTTTTACTTTTTAGTATTTTTCGAAGTCAGTAAAAAAATTTTTAAATTACTTTTTAATTTCGTAATTTTTAGATTTTTAGTTTAGTAGTAGTAGTAGTATATATATATATATATATATATGATGATGATGATGTTCTCCTAGCCGATTCCGGCCATGGCGGCCAATCTCAATGAGATTAGCCAACTGCGCAGGAGATATTATAGTGCTCAAGTGTACGCGCAGACACAAGGCACTCTCTATTCCTATCACTCTCATACTCCGGTGGGACGACCACTCGACATATATATATATATATATATATATATATATATAATATATATTATATATATATATATATATATATATATATCATATCAATCGACTCAATGGAACTTTTTTTTGTAAATTTAATACTAAAAACGATCCATTCATTCATGATGGAGAACCTCTTAGAATTGGAATTTCGAACTCCGCTTTTATCAGGACCTTTGTTGGGACATTTTCTGAGATATTTTAGGGTGAGAGCGAAGAAAAAAAATATCGTCATTTTTTGACATACCCTAATATATATATATATATATATATATATATATATATATATATATATATGTATTATATATATAATGTATATTTTTTAAACCGTAGCTTTGTCTAATTGGAAGTACATAAAATCAATTTTACAGCATGACTATAGCGAATTTGAGTACTTATTATAATTATGAATAATATCATTTTTAAACTGGAAATAATCAATTGAGCAACTGTTAGCACGGGTTAACTTATTGGCATGGTGACCGCGCACTTGGAAGATTACCTACCCTTGAGGCATACTAGAGAACATTGTGAAAGCATTCAGAAAACCCCGCTGTATCATGAGCTCTCACTGTAGGCCAGCCGTCGGGGCGTCGTCGTTGAGTATGGGAGACCGTATTCTGTGGTGCCTCATTAAGACGGTGGAGGTTTCGTGGTGTTTTAGTATGTAGTGCTGGCTTTTCTAGCCGCTATGAAAAGGTTATCTTAATATAAGCTATTAAGGGAGCTGAAGTGCTATTTTTTAATTTTAACACATTTTGGTACCGTCGATTAGTTAGAATTTTATCAAAAAACTATTGACAAATAATAATGTAAGCAAAATTATAATTATGAACTATACGCTAAATAAAATACAAAGTTCAAACGTTATTTTATTTTGTTAAACGAAATATCTTAAGAAAAATCTAGTAGTAAAGATAAATTACTTCTAAGAATGTTTAGACATTATTCATATATTAAAATTATATCATAATCTTGCTTACAAAGATACTTTTTCAATAGCCCTGTATAAAGCCTTAGGCTATAAGATTCCGAGCACGCGCATTTTGGCCGTCCGTGTTATTAATATTCAACGAACGCACTATATATTTGCTTTATTAAAAAGGAAGATTTTAGGATCTACGCTGAACTATTTGATCTATATTTTATGGTATTTGTTTTCAATGTTATAATATGAGAATTAGGCAGTGATAGCCGCATAGTGATAATCGTAACGCGCTCGCTTGGGAAACCGAGTGAAGCGGGTCTCGCATCTCTGATATTTTCATGTCCGAATCATTTCTAACATAATTACCACTTTCCTTACGGTGGAGAAAAACATCGTGAGGAAACCTGCATGCCTGAGAGAACCTACCAAGTTTTCGAAAGGTATATGACATCCGCCAACCCGCACTTGGCCAGCGTGGTGACTGGTGAAGTATAGCCTGATCTCCCTCGTATTGAAGGGAGGCCCGTGTCCAGCAGTGGGACGTTAAAAAGTGGTGAATACAATACGGGAATTCAAATTAAATTATCTTGTAATATGAACTTTGTAATTTATCATATACCTACTCTGTAAAGTGATTGAGGCAATTCAATAGATTCTGTTACATATTATCTCAAGTTTACAACATTATCTACAAACGGAAATTATTAACCAACAATTCGAAGATATTGGAAACTTTTTTGTCAACCCTATATTTTTCAAAGAAACCCCGATTATAATTTAACAATTAACTGTAAAATTAGATGTTTAATTGTTTTGAAATCAATAATATATTAAGTCTGTGCTTGATAGGTAATAGTCATTATAATAAGGTGCATGCTGGTGTTAATCCTCCTATCATTAATTCATGAAAATAAGAATCAAAATAAATTGTAAGTATAGTAGTAGTAGAAGTAGTAATTATTTAATTCTCTACCGTATAGATTTTTTTTAATCTTCATGTTCAACTTTAAATTGAATTGGCGTTGACATAGTTACTCGTATTTCTATCAGCCTATATGCTCAACGAAGGCTTATTTTTTAACGTTGAGAAATGCGTGGTTATGTGGGACTCACTGCCTAAGCCGGTACCCAATAAAACCCAACAACTTCCCCTGTCTTAATAGGGTGTCGCAGGATCATTTACGCACTCAACCACGATGCCCCGATGGCAGATCTGCTGAAGCAGATCAAAACAACCATGAGGTTGCTACAAGGGTCCAGTCTGCCGTCAGGTACCAGGAGAAACCCGCATTGTTCAATGCACATCGAAGTGGGCCACCTCCCTGTGCATTTCTTGGCTTCGCACCGAAGAACTGCGGGACGCTGATGAGCCCTCCCCACTACGATAAGGTGAACGTACGTTGTGGGGGAAGGTGTGGGGTCGAGAGCCAACCATCCCATAATTATATTTAGTATATTGATTTTTTTGCTTATATTTAAAAAAAAAATTAGTTCCCTCTCCATAATATTGAGATATCTATAATTTAAAAGGGCTAGCTTGTGATTAAATA